AGGGCAGTTCCCAGGCAGGACGGACAGGTGTGGGCCTCAGGTGTGAGTCCTGTAGCAGGACCCCTGTGCAGCCAGAAAGCAGAATTGCCTGCGGGCCCCGGGCCACATGGGCAGCCTCATCCCCCACCAAGAATGCAGCTCCTGGAGGGACGCACCAAGGCTGACCCTCGTCCCTGCTGGACACTCCCAGCTGCATTTAACGACCAGAGGGAGGACCCGAGCCCAGAGAGCCAGGTCGGGGCCGGGCCCGGCACTCACCACACTGCCCCTCTGTGTTGTTGGCAAACTTGCTGAAAGGCACCTCCACCGAGAAGATGAGGCCGCTGAACATGACCTGGACGCCGAGCTCAGGGATGGCCACGTACATCTTGATGCCAGTCTGGGAGACAACGATGCCGTCCTTCTGGAAGCCGGGACTGACCACTTTCCCATCGAAGATGATCTAGACAGTGAGGCGGGAGGTAAGCCGCTGCCCAGTGCCTGCTGCCCACCCGGCACGCACAAGCCGCCCGGGGTCCCCACCTCATTGGTCATCACCCCGTGGACTGGCTTGCGGGTCAGCACGACGCGGTCCTGCCGGTACTCGACGATGATGGACTGCGGGCAGGACAGCCTGTCCTCGGCGTCGCAGAAGTAGTTTTGGATGAGCACCCGGAAGTGCCCGAACACCGGCACGATCTGCTGCACCAGCACGTACGTACAGTTGTCCAGGAACGTGTAGTAGGTGCCGTCGAAGGTGATGTAGTGGGGGTCGCCCCAGCCGCTGCACACACCTGCGGGCGTGAGGAGCCGCCTGACCAGAGCCCACACCCCGGGGCCCCAGAGGGCACGTGTGTCCCTGCGCCCAGGGGAGTGGCGGGCCCGCCCTGCAGTCAGCACTCGCGCCAGCACCCGCACAGAACCCTGTCCGCGGGTGCAAGCGCGGCCCGAGGGGCGGGACCAGACTCCCTCCCTCTTCACCCACCCCGCGCGGCCCCGGGGGCTCTGGGCTCGGCAGGGTTCCGCTGGGCACCCCGGGAGGAGGCCGGGCACCGTGACCTCTGCCCCGATGCTGGGGATCCTTCCCCGGGGCCCAGACTCCTGTCCCGCCTTAGCGGACGCCCCCTTCTCTGCCCGCCCGCCCGCCGGGCTCACATTGGCACTCGTAGTGGCTTAAGCAGCAGCCCTCGTCGTCAGCCACGCTCACGGGGGGGTAGCCGTTGGCGCAGGTCAGCTTCTTCACCGCTGGGCACTGGCGCGGCCTCACAGTGATGATCCCGTTGCCCTTGCAGGTGGCCTGAGAGCAGTTGGGCATGGCCCAGGTCTCGCCTTCCTGCGGAGGAAGGACAGCTGCAGGGCCTCGCTCCCGACCCGGCGCCGACCCTCAGGGCTCAGAGCTGGCCTGGGCCTCCCCGGAGAGAGAGGCCAGCAGGGACACCGGGGTTGGGACCGGCACCCCCCACCCGACTGTTCCCTCCGCGTCACCACTGGAGGGAGGGTCTCTGAGTGGGTGCAGGTTGCCCCCTCCCCACTCTGCCCAGTTGCAACCTGCTCCCCACGTGCAGACTACCCGGACTCCGCTCCTTGGCTGTCGACCCTGCCCAGAGCACCCCCTGCCTGCTCTGGCCCCCTTATCAGAAAGCAGAGTCTGAACCCTGGACCCCACGCCCTGGCATCCCATTCCAGAAGTTCTGGGCGACCAGAAACGGCCTCTCCCCATGGGCAGCCTGACTCGGTCCGGGAGGCACCGACCTCCACGCACACGTGGTGCCACGGCCTAACGGGGAAGACGCGGGGGGTCCCCGCATGCGCCCCTAGCCCAGGCGCGGCAGGAAAGGTGGGATTACCGTCCTTGGGGGCACTGCATTTGGGCATCCCTCCGGAGGCACCGACGTAGACGGGGAGGACCGGGGTGGGGAGGTGGTCGGGGCAAGAGATGGTGTGCTGGTGGGACAGGTGTGGTCAGTCCGCCTGACCACATGGCAGTCCAGACTGCACACGGCGTAATAGCAGTGGTCGGAGAGGTCGGTCTGCTGGTAAATGATGGACCCTGCAAGACAAAGGGACAGGTGGTCCAGGCAGAGCAGGGGACCCAGCAGGAGGGGCTCGGGCTGGTGGTCAGCTCGGTGGCTGGCCCGGCAGGTGGCCTTTACTCAGATATGAAGGGCATATCCTCAGTGACAGCTACTTCTGACCCTGTCCACAGCCCCAGGTCCGGTCACAGAACAGGGGACCCCTCCCCTCCCCTCCCCTCACACAGTAGCTCTGAGAACAGGACAGCAGCCAGCAGGGTCAGCACACACCAGACACCGTGGGCAGGAGCCACGTACCCGCAGGGTAGAAATTGCCGGACACGCTGCAGTAGCACGTTGTGGTGGAGGGCTCCGTGGAGCTGGGCGGTGTCACTGAGGACACCGTGGTGGTGGACTCTGGGGACAGAGGAGTCTTGGATAAAGTCACAAAGGGGGTCACAGAAGGGACAGGGCAGCCTTTCGGGGGCTCACAGCACAGCACTCGGATCTGGTAGTTGAAGCACGTCGTGAACGGGCTGCTCTGGTCCCGGTTCCGGCACACCAGGCCCACTTTGGGGTTGCACTGCACCACCTGGCCCAGCGCGGTGATGCTGACTTCCGGGTGTCTCTCCGCTCGGCACTCCAGTTGGGCGATGTGCTCGGGTCGGTGGCAGATCTTCTCTCCTCTTCTGGTGATGTTGCTGTAGGTTTCAGAGTCTCCTCCATCGGGCCCAGGGGATGGGACGTCCACATCGAACCACTTGGTCCACGCGCACTGTGGCAGGCAGGTGGTGGCCCCGGATGTGGAGTAGGGAGTCCCAGGTGTAGGGACAGGGGTCGTGCTGGTCGTCGGGGCGGAGGGAGGGCCGGTGGTCCGCGCAGAGGTCGTGCTGGTCGTCGGAGCCGAGGGGGGGCCGGTGGTCCGCTCAGAGGTCGTGCTGGTCGTCGGAGCGGAGGGGGGGCCGGTGGTCCGCTCGGAGGTCGTGCTGGTCGTCGGAGCGGAGGGGGGGCCGGTGGTCCGCTCGGAGGTCGTGCTGGTCGTCGGAGCCGAGGGGGGGCCGGTGGTCCGCGCGGAGGTCGTGCTGGTCGTCGGAGCGGAGGGGGGGCCGGTGGTCCGCGCGGAGGTCGTGCTGGTCGTCGGAGCGGAGG